TTATAAATTAAGAGTAACGAATGTTACGTTTTAAACATCATAGGGCCCGTTCGGTTCGCTAATTTGAGTTTTTAATTTGAGTTGAGATATGATGTTGTGTGAGAATTTTTTACCGTAACAAAACTCAAATTCTAAACTTGAATTAGAGAAAAGAACGGGTCATAAGATATATTATTAATTAATCGACCATCATATAATCTGACGTAGACATCAAACGGTCCACATCTTTCCTAGTCAGTAGGTGGGGGGCCCAGTAAGTTGATGGGTCATTCATTCATCTTGCTCCTTAATTTAAGAGGAGTCTCTGTCACAGAAAAATTGACCCGGAAGAAAAGGAGGGACAGAGAAGAAAAGAGAAATAAAATAAAATAAAAATTTAGAAAACCAAAGAGGTAATATCATTGTCGACACGTGGGAGAAAACTGATACGTGAATATGCTGCTGCTGCTGCTGCAGCTGGGTAGTGAGTAGTAGAGTAGAGGTTATTAGCTTTGCTTAGGTTCAGTCAGGAGTTTAAGGAGGTGGTCCCCAAAATAATTAAATGAAAAAATTCAAAATGTGGGGGCCACCATGCTACTGTCCCCACCCCAACTTGGCCAGGCAGCTCCGTAACGGGATCACGTGAAAATGAGGAAAAAAAGAAGAAGAAAAAGGCAACTACCAGCGATGACTTGTCGAAATGGGCCACCCGGCCACCGTTTTTCTTTTTTCTTTTTTCTTTATTAAGAATATTAATTCAGAATTTTCTATGAATTTAAAAAAAATTAAAAAAAAAGCTTGTAAAAAACTTTTAATTTTTCTAGTCTTCTTAATAAAATGAGTTGTTATTCTGTTAAGGATTTTATAAGAAAATAATAGAGTCGACCAGTTTCTTCAAATGTTATCCACGTGTATGACTATAATTACAGTGTTGATTTAAACCTCAATATTATTCATTATCGGAATTGATATATATCACAAGAAAAAATTAGTGTATAAACAAAAATTTAAAAATTTAAAAAAAAAATAGGTTATTTATACATATATCAGTAACTCCTTTATATGTCACACAACAAGTAGCCCAACATTTTCGCCCCCTTGATTGACCACTGTTTATACGGATTTGATTGAATGAATTATTTATACATATATCAGTAACTCCTTTATATGTCAAACTCAAAAAATGTTGATCAACATGGTTATGTATTTTCGCTACTTATATTTCTTATTAAAAAAAAATGAGCAAGAGTTTTATCTGTGTTGAGAATTATATCATTAGGTATGCATCAGAGAATTATGAGTTTCATGTTACTATTAGAAAATAATCCATCAATCCTGCTCATAGTGTTGAGGTGTCAATTTATGCACTCTAAAATAAAAAGGAGGAAAAAAGAAGTAATGCCACTGAGTACTGAAATACTATTAAGTGGACACATTGGCTAATCTCTAATGGCTGCTGTGTTAATCTCTAATTTTAAAATTCATTTGTTTGAATTTTGATTTTTTTAATAATATGAAGATCGAGGAGACTATTTTGAGATAATAATATGACTCGTTAGAGCCAAGAAAAGTTATTGACGCTTTTCAGTGCATTAGAAAATAAATAGGACCGGGCTTTTGTTTTCTCAATAACCATTCGTAATTACGTTTAACGATGGATAGTTTTAATTTCATTGCTTAGAGCTTAAGAGTGTATGAAATTTGAATATCTGAAAAGTGATTTAAATTGTACTTTGTAACCTAACATGGTAGCATGACATTTGAATGAGTTTCCTACGGTAGGATACACCTTAACGTAGTGTATGTTTTCTAAGGTCTAAATTTAATCAAAATCACATCAAATATAAAAAAAGTGTAAAACTGAGAGAATATTTACGGGTTCATAGTATAATCTTATCAAGGATAAAGCTCATAAATAGTCCTTAAGTTCCATCCACAATCTCACTTTAATCATTAATTTTTAAAACGACTCAAATTTAATTCCTAATTTATGAGTCTATTTTATTTTAGCCATTTTTCTCAGTTGGGCAGTAAAAAGAGAACAACATATGCATATGATGCTGACAGAAAATAACATTTTACTGATAGAACAACGAATGTGTATGTGATTCTGACACACAAAAATAAAATAATATGATGTTACTTGAATGTCATCCATATTTTGTTATGTTTTTAACATCAAACTGACAGAAAAAGACTAAAACTGATACAAAACTAATGGCATATTTAGTTCACTGATTCGAGTTTTTAATTCGAGTTGATATGTGATTTTATGTGAGCTTTTTACTGTAGTAAAAAAGTTAGATATAACTATTTTTGAGAGCTTTTTACTATAGCAAAAATCAAATTAGTGAAATGAACGAGGCCAAAAAATTAGGAGTTAAATTAAGGGAGTTTCTCTGGTAGATCCTAAAAAATAAACTACCGAAAGGTTTATGTTTTCAGTCGTCAGATTTGAATTAACAATTATCTGTTTTACATATTTTTTCAAGTTAATGTGATTTTGACTAGATCCAATTATAATAAATTGATCCTACTGATAGTGAGGTCCTTCTAGAGAAACTCCTCAAGTTTAAAATGTTTTAAAAGTTAAGCACTATAGTAAGATTAATAGTTTTTAGCATAATGTCCTCCCAAACTTATCGTGGTATAACAAATTAGCCACTAAATTTTTAATTTTGATAATTAATCCCATAAACTTGTAAAATTATTACAATGTGTCCCATTTTATTAAATTTTTTATTACATTTAGGAGATTAAAAGTTAAGAAATTAAAATGTTTATGTTTTATTTGAATTGAGACTTTGAAATTTTTCATCGAACGTCCATTTTTTGATATTAATTTAATACAATCATCGTTAAAATGAGGTACATTACAATAATTTTGCAAAATTGAGAGAATAACTTAAAAAAATTAAAAATTTAAAAGGCAAATTGTTAAAATTCAGAACCACTTGTAGAATTTACCTTTAAAGTAGTTTTTTTTTATGCCCTACCTTAAAATTGTAAAAGTGAGTAATGTTATAAGGTACTAGTAGTGATGATTAATTAATTCACTAATAAAAAGTGATCTCATATAGCGTGAGATTCACAGGTGATAGTGCTGTCATTTCTACAAAAGTGATGTACCCTAAGGAGGGGAAAAGAAAAACGGCAGATTTTACAGGAGTAGGAAATGAGGAATACTGGTGATGATCTGAGATTGAGACTGAGAGGTGAGTCACCCTTTTAAAGACAGGAAGAAGTGACAGCCACAGTGACATTAGATATCAAATGCACAGCTCTCTCATGTGACTCATCTCCTTCACTTCCCTCTCTCTCTCTCTGCTCATTATTTATATTATTAGTTACGCTGAGTGTGTAGGGTCCCCATTTGCTTATAAATGCCTTTTTTCCTCTTGTTCCCACGGCTTCGACAGACCCACATGAAAAAGCATGCAACCATTCTCTGTTGTACAAGGCGTTTTTTATGGTCTTTTGCCTTTACATTGATATATAAGCAACCTTGTTTTCACTATTCACATTTCAATTTCGACTTCACATTCATCTAATTTTAGATCATTAATGAAAGTTTCACGATGAATGTTTATGAGCGGCAATTAATGTTTTTAAGCCGTCCAACGAGATTACTGAAAAGCTCCTAAACAATTCTCTTACAATCCGTGGTATTGATATCAACATACAATCTTTATCCAATTTTGAAAAATAACTGCACGAACAAAATTTGACGGTTCAAAATTTAACGGTTAAAAAAAGAGAGACTACAAGGCTTTTTCATGGAATTCTCACGAGAGTTTGGTAATGACATCAATGATCTATCTTCTAATTTCCTGTTGCGAAAATCTCTTGTCATTCATTTTAATAATAGAATTAGTTTGATTAGTAGAAGCAATATGAATGTTTAGGTGTGGGCAGGAGAAGCAATATAAGGGTGCTCTGGGGTACCACCAAACACGTAATACGCTGAAATTATTGATGTCTGGTAGAGGGTAGCAATCTTATAGCCAAAAGAATCGAACATATCTCCCACGTAAGACCCTTGAAACTATTCCTTAATTCCCTTTATCCTTGTTTAGAAAAAGGCTCCGATATTGCTACTAGTATACTAGTCAATATACCCTTTTGCGACCACGTCAATATTTGGAGCAAAAAAAAAAAAAAAAAAAAAACGACTAAACGCTGAAAGCGTTGACTGCATAATGCATATGAACAATGCTTTACTGGACGTTGCTGACAAATAAGACACTAAAATGGAAAAAAAAAAAAAAAAAGAAAAAAAAAAGCCCTTTTTACTTCCTTTCTCCCAAGTAATAACTCATATCCTATTTGGCAATTTCCTACAAGAATTTACCTATGGAAACTTGAGATTCAAACATGATACATTATTTATCTACTTTTTTTTGTTACTTTAAATTTTTATGTCAAGTTGTTTATCTAATTATTTTTTGGTCTAAAAGAGAATTACGTGCAAATTTTTAGAGGTAAAGTGTGGAACAACCTATCCAATCTTACATGAGTAAATAGCAATGATTTTTAGCTACCACATTTCTAATTATGGAAAGTTGAATAAGAAAAAGGAGCACACTAAATTATGGGCCCCATAAAATTGATAGCTGCATGACTAGTTGGGTTTACCGCGGCCTACCAAATTAGAATATTTCTCGCTGAAAATTTTAAAGGGCAAATTTAACCATAGAAAAATTGAAATTCAAAAAGCAAGATGAAATTGTGAGAAAAAAAAAAAAATTTACAATTTATTACGATTTTATAACCCCAAGCGGATTATTGGCGTCGGCTACGGCTCATCCAACCCAAGAC